GCAAGAACCCAGGTGATTTTTAGCTGGCCAAAGTTACAAGCTCAGGTCCTATTAAAATCACATTTTTATTTGGACATTTAATTGTGATTTCAGGTGACTAATTTTGTCCGTTCTTTTTTGAGAGGAAACTTAATAAATAAAAACTTAATAAATTTCCAATGTGTTTGCTGAAAATGTCTCTTAATATTGTTTCTTTTTCTAAAAAACTTTTGCACAGCAAACAAGCAGGGTTTTTGTTTTGCTGTTTTAGCAAATTGTAGCTGCCATTTATTGTGAAATTTGTGACATATTTTCTTCCTGTCTCTCTTTTTGTTCTTTTACTGTTGCAGCAGTTCTACTAGCTTCTGCATCTTATGATTCTGCTTCAGTATTGTACCTTAATTTTAAATTTAGAAGTCTGGCAGTAGTTGTTTTCCTCAACTAGAAAAATAACTATATCATTAAAATAATAAGTATTTTAATTTAACTACCTTTTACAATTTATATAGAAATCACTAACTTGTGCTGTGTGGGTAAAATATTCAGGGAAACACATTACAGTGTTAAACTGGTGCATAGAACAAAACATCATTGTAATGGAATGAATCTGTTTATATTAACTGGATTGGAAATACTAGAAGTAATGTAGGTGCCTAATGTGAGGACTACAGTGCAGCATAATAGCTTATGTGATGCAGTGGTTAAAGTGAAATGTTTAATTAAGTATCAAAACAACAAGGCTGTGTTTAATAGAAAAATATTTTGTGCTACTTTCTCTTTTTTTTAATAAAATTTTTATTCAAAAAATGTATAGAGGTCCCATGCACCCTTCACCCAGTTTTCCCCAGTATTAACATCTTGTGTAACTATACTACAACTAGGTAATTGACTTTGGTACAATTTGCAGAACTTATTTAGATTTTACCAGTTTAACCTGCACTCATTTGTGTATGTATAGTTCTATGCAATTTCATCATGTGTAAATTTATGTAACTACCACCACAATCAAGATATAGAACTATTCTATCACCACAAAGCTCCCTGAGCTACCCTTTATATCCACATACTCTTGCTTCCATTTTTAAACTTAAACTGAATTAATAAGAATTTAAAAAACTTACTTGCTCAGTCATACTAGCCACATTTCAAGTGCTCTGTAGCAAATTGTGGCTCGTGACTATCATCGTGAACAGTGTTGGCCTTTTCTTTAGACATTGTAAGGTATCTCAAGGCTCTGAGATAATATGGTCACTTTCTTTTAAGGTTCTTATCTTCTAGGGCAGCGGTTCTCAACCTTCCTAAGGCCGCGATCCCTTAATACAGTTCCTCATGTTGTGGTGACCCCCAACCATAAAATTATTTTCGTTGCTTCTCTATAACTGTAATTCTGCTACTGTTATGAATCATAATGTAAATATCTTTTTGTTTTCCAGTGGTCTTAGGCGACCCCTGTGAAAGGGTCGTTCGACCCCCAAAGGGGTCGCAACCCACAGGTTGAGAACCGCTGTTCTAGGGTCTTCCTTGGTGAATCAGAACTAGGTTCAAAATAGCTGGTCCCTTTTATGGTTCCTCTTCCCTCTACATTGGTTGCCGATTCTGAACAATTAATTAATTAATAGTAGTATATTCTAAATATAATTCCCTCAAAATGTGTTGGAAAAAACTACCAACGGGTGTACCATAGAAGAGGTATTGAAGTTTTCTGCTGCTAGACTATATATGCTATCATGTACGGTGTTTATTGATATTTTACTTAGGATAAATACTCAGTGCCCAAGCAGATGAAAAAAGTGTGTTTATTCGTTATTAAAGAACCTGGGGTTTTATTCGGAATTGGTTTCAACTTGGTATGCAGAACATTTGAGTGCCTGTCATATAATTAGATCAGTAGATTAGTAGATGATTATAATGTAGATGGCTTAATTCCTTATTGTTACACAGTACAGGCTGTAATATAGTGCAAACGATTCATTTGAGCGGTGAAAATAAAATACTAATTGTATATCATGCTTTGTTCCATGCAGTCAGTTGAGATAGTTGTAGAATTATCTGTGCTGTTTTCTTTCCCATCACCTTAAAATTAAAGAATTCTAGAAAACTAGGGAACTGGAGAATAATTCATACTGTCAATGGTTTCTTATTTAAAACTTTTTCTTTTGAATTCAGATTTGCCTCTTGATACTGATCTAGAAAATGAAAAAACATCAAAGATCATATTGGCTGAGATGCTTGGTGACATGATCTGGGAGGAGTTGTCTGAGTGCCTCATTAAAAACTGTTTGGTTTATTCTATCCCAACAAATAGCAGCAAGTTACAGCAGTATGAGGAGGTAAGAACAGAGATACCACAAAAGGTTTAAAGAGAGTGTAGGTTCCTGTTGGTGTCTTTTTTTTTTTTTTTAGAGATCTTTTGTTCTTTAGTAACATCTTGAAGAAAATTATTAAGGAATAGAAGCAAATTCCCCGTAACTTCCTTTTTCTTCTGGCTTCCTACCATTTGATTGGGAAGTATATTTTCTTTAGTAAGATACTTTTAAAAGCAATTGTTCTGTTATTTATACTTATATCAGCTGTAGTAGTTACTATGTGACACTACTTTTTTGTTTCTTTTTAGTGTTTCCTTGAGCACTAAAATATATTTATTTTAAAGGTCTTTGTACTTTTACTCAGTAGAGTCATAAATTTCTATTGAAGATACTCTTCCTAATGAATTTAAAGCTGGAAAAATGTATAATATCTTTATACCTAATGATTGATGGTTTGTTCTAAAACTTAAATGACCAGCTGGTCCTTGTTATTTTCTATACATTGGATTTAAAATTTTAATATTGAAATGTAATAATACGTATATGATTATTTTATTTTTGTTTTTCTCAGATTATACAATCCACTGAAGAATTTGAAAATGCCTTAAAGGAGATGAGGTTTTTAAAAGGAGATACTACTGATTTGCTGAAATATGCCCGTAACATCAATTCTCATTTTGCTAACAAGAAGTGTCAGGATGTGATTGTGGCAGCCAGAAACCTAATGACCTCTGAAATTCACAACACTGTGAAGGTATTGGGGTTATTAAAGTATATTATGTTGTATTTGGGAAACATCTCGTTTCTGAGATGAGTATGCCGGAGTGGAAGAGAGCATGACAGTTGCTGAATTCACTGAAGGGAGTTATTAATCTTCTAAATCTTAGTTTTCTCACCTTAACATGGTCCTAATATCTACCTCTTTCATAGGGTATTGTGTGGTCCAGATAAGATAATGCACATGAAAGCATTTGTATAAGTTGAAAAAGTCTACGGAAATGTAATGGATTACTATTATTGAAATATCAACCTGTAGATTTTTCTAAACTTTATTACTTGAGTTTTTAGTACACAGTTTGGTGACAGGTATAAATAGGCTTCACTTATGTCCAGAAGATTATGTCCTATTGTGAAAATGTTGACTTCATCTCTTGGGTAATAGTTTTCAAGTGAACATAGTAAAACAAACAAAAAGATGTGATCTATGTAGGGTATAAACAAATTATCTGCAAAGTCAGTGGACTAAATGTGCATTGAGGGTAATTCTTTCATTTTAGATAATTCTGTATATTGTTTTTTTTTTCATTCGTTACGTATGTAAAATAATATTTGGTAAATGTAAGCTATTACTTAGATTAAAGCAACACATAGATTCAGGTAATCTCTTAATCGAAAATTCCTCAGCCATTTTTCTTCTGTCACTGCAGGTAGTAGGCTCTTTTCCCCTCTATCCCTTCTTCTGTCATCCTCCAGTTTCCTTGGGGTTACCATGTTACTATGTCCACTTCAGCAAAATAATTAGCCGTTTGAAGGCACAGGTATTAGCACATTTTGAGGTAATTTTGGATTGTTAAGAGAGCTGAAATCTGCTTAGTACCAAGAACTGTGCTGTAGGCTTTTTTCTCCCCCATAAATATCACTAGATTATGTCACTCTTCTGTATTCTAATCTTAGCCATAATTTTGACTGCCACATTTCTGACATTTGTATTCTTATTTAAGCTTCATAACAGCCCTGTAAAGTAGACACTATTATACCATTTTTTGAATTAGGAAGGCAAATCCAATGACATTTTTATTAGACTCAACTTTTTCTATTAGGAATTTTCTGTAGAGGTCCAGTATGTACAGAGCAGAGCTGCTCTTGCTGTGGGAGTAGGGAACCTGTTCCTTACCTGCTTAATCTCTCCTTTTTTTGGCCCCTGAGGCATCTTTGAGAAGCAAGGTTTTAAAATCATTATTGCAATACAATTTCATTTGTTTACAATGAGAAAATTGAGGTCCATTGAGGTTAAATGACTTTGTCAAAAGTTAGGGTAAAAAATATCACTGATGTTTCCAGACTAGCAGTCTGGTGTTCTTTCCTTTCGTCTTGACCAAGTCTGGGAATTTTCATTCTGTATAAATGTTAGGCAGGCATTTTTGGTTTTGATTTGGAATTCGTAAATGGAGGATATGCTAGTGTGAATGAGCTTTTTCTTTGACTAAGCAATAAGCAAACACATGTTCCTAGTGGGAAATGATTTGTTTATGACAGGAACACAAAATTATACTTGTCTGCAATAATCTGATAGTCTAATCTGACAAAGATGATTTTTGAAGGTCCTTTCATTTACCTGAAATCTTGGGCCAGTTTCACAGCTTTGTTATTGTCACCAAGATTAAGAATGTACAGACAGAAGAACTGGAAGAATGGCACAAGAAAGGGGACTGCTTACTTCTTGTGACATGCTCTCAACCCAAGTTTGAGCAGTCATTAAAATACTCAAATCTTTTAGTTATTCTATAGACCCACAGCTTTATCTTCATGGAAGCAACCAGTATCTTGTTTCTCACGGTGTGCTTGCATTTTAATTATTCTGAAGATAGTGCATTTTCTATGTTTCTATGTTTGACTCTTAGATTACTCCTGATTCTAAGATAAGTGTGCCTGACTTACCTAGCTCTGATGAGGATGACAAACTACAAGTACAGAAAATGTCCACAACTCAGTACAATGAAGTGGTGAATTTAGAGCCTGAAAATACATTGGACCAACATTCCTTTTCTTTGCCCCCATGCCGCATCAGTGAATCTGTGAAGAAATTAATGGAACTTGCCTATCAGACTTTACTAGAGGCTACAACCAGCAGCGATCAATGGTAAGAGTTCTGAGTTATCGGAAAATGGCAATGACTTGGTTAAATGCCTTTCTAAATGGACATTTATTAAGAAAATTAACTGGAATTCGTTGGGTTTTCTTATCCCATTAGTTAATATTTTTTTTCTAGAAAGTCAGGACAGCATAGAGATATATATTGATAATTAACTTTTATTTACAACATCTTACAACAAGGTATAAGAAATAGAAGCATGTGTATGGATGGACAAATTACTTTTTAACAAAAAGCTTTTTATTTTTAATTTTTATTTGAATTGAATGATATCACATGAGAAAGCATGTGTAAAGAACTTAATACTCAAGTGTTTATTATTGGTGGCGGTGGTAATAGTGGTAATGATAGTTGTACCATCTGCTCCAGCCTGCTCTTGCCCTATTTAGCTTAACATTTATTTTACCCTTCTAAAGCCCAGGCCCTAATTAATTTACATTTTAAATGCTTATTTTTTAAAGCCATAATAGTTTTTTGGGCAGCCAAAGGTAGAAAGAAAAGACTGGAATGTACCAAAGATCTGATTTCACCCTTCCGGGATGATTTCTTCCAGTCTGCACTTTATACACGGTACCCCACGCTCTGTTCCACAGCTCATACTGAATCTTCTTTTTTGGAAGCTCCTTCCCTTCTCCTAGACTAAATTGAAGAGAAAATGGCAGATTGTAGCCCAAGATTGCTGTAGACAGATTTACAAAAGCCTCTTTTGTTTGTATCTATTGTAGCAGTTTTTTACTTCTCATCCTCATAGTAGAAAGCAATTTCAGTAAGGGCTGGACTTAATCAAATTGCATCTTTAGATGGGCTTCCAGACTTTCAGTTTTTGTGTCCATGTGTAAACAAACCCCTCTATTTTATTCAGCCCTAGAAAGAACATGTTTACCAAGATACTTCTGTGACTTTAATGAATCATTATATTCAGAAGTCCTTCCAGTTTTAAATATAAGTAGGAAGAAAAATATATGTAAAAGGAAGTATATACTCATTTGGCAGAATAAATATAGGAGTGACTTTTTCTTCACATGGCATTCTCTTGAAATATATCTGATCAGAAGTTAGGGGTGCAAAGCAATATTTTCTAAATTATTTGAGAACACAGAACACCAACAATATTTTTATATACTGAATGTCTATGGATATTCTTTCCACTAAAATAAATAGTTTTTAACAGGACAAACAAAAACACGACTACTCTATAATAAACCACTTCTCTATTATTAAACCTCAAGAAACAACATATGCAGCAAAAATAAAATGAAATAATTTAATCAGGTATTGTAGTAATGAAGTAGTAACAGTGTTTTGGGGTATAGTAACCTAACTTATTTTTCTAAATATTTGTGGAACTCCTGTGACTTATTCAAGGTACATAGTTTAAGATATTCTTATGTAGAAGCTACACAAACCTTGTATTTACTCTTTCTAAGTGCATTTTAATAATATCTTTAGGTATTCTAAGGGCAGATATAAAGGACAAAAAAACTTGAGGTTAGATTCTATTTCAGAAATGTTGATTCATCTCCTTGCATTGGGGTAAGAAGGAGAAAAGGTGAAAGCTGAAAGTCAGACTGATTCTAAAAGAACCAAGTGAATGCCTTTATTGATATCTTGCCCTTTGCAGAGTACGTCAGTGAGTAGGTAACATTTGCTTGAGGCTTAGCTCCGTTTTTTACTGAAGGGATACTTTGGGTACTGGCAGAACACAAATTGATAAATGAAAAAGGCATTGGGTTGAATGCTGCTGTTCTTAAAATTATTAATGGATCCAGGTTTTTAGGACTGCAATCTAGTCAGAAAATACTGGTGGAGAATATATTTCCGTTTAGATTAATGGTGTTTTCAGCAGTGACCAAGCCAGGTATTCTCTCCACTGTCGATTTAGCTGATGACTCTTGCTTAAGGTGCATTAGTTTGAATTTTTTTCTCATTTCCAGTATACCTTATGCATTTCTGTTGAAACTGTTTTCCTTTTAGTGCTGTTCAACTTTTCTACTCAGTGAGGAATATCTTCCATTTGTTCCATGATGTTGTACCAACATATCATAAGTAAGTGCCACTGTATCTGATTTCTGTATCATATCGTGTGTCTAAAATGTTTGTAAGTCCAGTTAAAACCAGTAATCTTATCTTCCCACTAAAGACATTTTAGTTACTAAAATTTACAGTAAAATGAAGTAAACCATTTAAAACGTTTAAAAGATACAGGTCATTTATTAATAAATTAATAAGGGTCCTGTGGTTTTATAATATAGTGGCTAATGCAAATTTAAAAACTCAAAAGAACTTTACCCTGGTTTTGATGGTAGGTGTTTTCAGAACTGCCTCACTTTACTTGGTTACAAAACAAAAAGGCCATTGTTCCATATTGCTATCTAGTAAACAAACCACATTTTCTCTTGGCATTCATAGCTTTGCAAACTTAATACTAAAGGAGATTGCCATTTAACTGTTGAATATTATCAGCCACTATTCCTAGCTAGCTTACAAGGTCTTACAATTAAGTTTGCGAACTTGCCACTTACATTGGCAGCACTGTACAAACAGCTTGGTAAGGTTTCATAACCTTGGTATCAGTGTCTCACAGCTGTATTGGTGTTGGTGTGTGGTGGTGTCTTGCTGAGTGACGTTTATTATCATTGTTGCGTGTTTTTGTGTGCCGTTGCGAGAATGTCTGAGCTTGAATTAAAGCAACGAACAAACATTAAATTTCTTGTTAAACTTGGCAAGAGTGGAAGTGAAATCAGGGA